ATTGAGTGAGGGTTCTTAATCTTGCCAACGTCTACCGTGAGACGGGACCTCGGATTATAAGGTCTCATCTGAAAGACCTTTGACTCTCACTTTAAATGCCGGCACTTGGCGAAGAAATAGTCACTACCTATGATTACTTCTTAGGTTTCACGCGGTGAGGCGAGGAGAATCGGTATGTTTAGTAAGGATGGAGCTAATTATAGGCAGCTGTAATGCCCCAAGATGTGTACATTCCTACACACAGGACGATACTTGTACGTTTCTTAAGATCTATTAATTCAGTGTCGTCATTTTTTTGTGTAGATTAATCGAAATTTTAATCGTTTATATAATTAATCAAACAATAAATTAATTTTATAAATTAGGACGTTAGCCTAAGATTTATAAAATTCATTATTGTCATGTAGAGCTTGAGTAGCTATCTGGACTCTCTTCTTTCCATTGGAGATGACGTCTATGTTGCTGTAATCCATATCAACATATCCAAATTCTATGTATCACCGAACTTCGGTATATTATCAAGTCATCTTGTATAGTCACGTCATCAATAACTGTGCCTGCATGACGACCAAATTCAGAAATGTTTCGTCTTTCCATTTGTTTCTTCATCCAAGTCAAGTTAGCTTCAAAAAACCTGAAACCTGAAACAAACTTTTTTCCTAAGAAAAAATTATCTTTATGTATTCAGAAGCCTTTCTCACTAAAGAAATAATATCTGACCATCTTACAACTTTATGATTGAACAATTCACCAAAATTTAGGGGAAAGCTGAAAAATGTGTGTTTCTAGTTGAGTATTTTTTAAAAAAAAGTTTTTAATATATTTTTCCAACTTTATGAACAATTTGTAATTATAAAGTTATGCAGAACATTCTCCTGGGTCAAATATTTCATTAAAGACCATCAAAATTTTCTGATTGGCTTTCAAATGTAATACAAATGATAAAATTTGATGTAAAAAGTTTATAAACAATCCTAAAATATGTTGATATTTTTATGGAGTCTTTACAATAGTACTACTTTTGAAGAAATAAGGAATTTGGTACCCTTTCCACACTAAATAAAACAAGAAAAAGTCATTTACATAGAAAAAAATATTGAATCAGGCCAGGAAAGAGTTGTCTCCTCTAAAGCCTGCTGCTCAAGGTAATGAACTACCTGATACACAATTTTACTGCTCTTTGTCACCCTTGGCTTGCCACCACATTCTAGAAATAAATGTTTTACACCTAAATTTGCATCTCTAGTGTGGGCAAGTCCAATATGCCTAAGTCCTAGTCCAGAATTTGCTATTTTGAACGCATACGGTGAGAAATTATTTTTGCATGTAAAAAGGTTGCAAAGAATCACAGTTCATTTTCTTTTCTCTCTCATACTGAAGAAAGTCTAGCAGAAATTTTGTATTAAAACTGTCCTCGAGTAAAACTGATGTTGGGTTCTCTATCCTCGGAACAACAGAGTTGAAAATTTCTATAGGATAACAGCATCTGCCAGTGCATCATGGGCATATGATTCTTGGAGCATGTCAATAACGAAGTCTTTTTTGTTTGCAACTGGTACGTCCTGGTAAGTTCTTTCGAAAAAAGGATAGAGTATCACAAAAACCTTCAAAATCCATTGATACACCATGTTTCAGAAAATTGTTTGACAGGACAAGTGAATCAAATGATCTACAGCTGTGAGCCACCAACAAAGGATCATGAAATTTATGAATCCATGCTGAAAATTTATTCAGTCCATCTTTGGGTGACACAGCAACCACGGGAATGCCATTTTTATACATTAGATGTTTCATCATGGCTAGACCTGTGACACAAGTGGCAGAAGTAGATCTCATGGTTTCTGGAATCAATTATATATCCAATGTTTCTTTTCCACATGTTGCACCAATCTGCTTTATATCAGAATGTCTCTCTGAAAATACATCCAAAATATGTTTTTTATTTTTTTTTCATAAGTTTAAGAAAAAGATCCCACTTCCAGAAATTCCTGGGGCCTGTGCTTTATGTTCTGTTCACAAATTTTTATTGTTCATATTTTTGTGTTTGATCACTGTTCATTATCTTCCCCTTTTATATTAAGGACTTTATTTTTACATAAGAATGTCCAATACCCAAAATAAAAAATAATAGTAAATACTAAAAACCATTTTATAAATTGCAAATGTCTTGAAACCTTAATTGTGGGACAAGTTTTTTGTTATATTGGTGTTACGTTTCACCCTTTTTGCTATGAAGTAGGCGATTGTAACTTGTGGGTCTCCCAAGTCTGTATATTAGATAGAAATATAATACCAAATATTTTTTTGTACAAAACTTTTATTAAATTATTTATTTTGTCAAGAATGGATTATTGAGCGGTAATAAATTATAAAAGCAAATATTTCCAATAAATCAATAAGAATGGGATTTTAATATCCCATATGAAGTTTTTCGCAAGTGTGGGAATACCCGATATATGTTTTCTGTGTAGTGTTAAACTATTTAGATTAAATAAATTTTAATTAACAGGCATCAGTTCCCAATATTCATAAATTAATTTGGGATAAATAAATAAATTAATTACCCATGCATCTGCCCTGGGTTTCCATATTCCCAGTTTTTTAGTCCTCGTCAGTTGAGGCAGCTGAGCAGAATGCTCCAGATGACAGCTGACCGCTGTTTATATCGTATTTCGTTGCTGAAGAAATGACGTAAGATCCGCTCCCCTTTCCCGCTATTAGATCTGCACCGGAAGTTTGTGCTAAGCGATCTCAATGCAATAAAAACAATGCAAGATCCGCGGGAATTGGAGTTATGTCAGTTGGAAGATCATACGACTGTTTATAATGTCGGAATAACATAAATAGTAGATTACTTACAATGTAATGTTTATGGGAAATGCCTGTTAATGTGTCAATCTTTCGTATAAGATTATTTGTTATCTTAACGTTCCCAAGTAATGGAGGAAACTCGGATTGACAACATGTCGATAAAAACAAATGACATTAAATATCAAAATCAAATCGTAATACTGCCCCTCTTCCTAATAGGCATTCGTCCTCGAATGGGAACTACGTCAAACCATTAAAAGGAAGAGAATTAAGTGATGTCAAAGGTAAGTATTGTTTCATTACTTTTAAACATTATTATAAATATCCAGTACATATTGTACAATAAAACATTATCAACTTACTATCATATAACAATTATAACAATAGGCATCATATTTAAACAACAAATATAAATACTAATCAACAACATATCACATATCAGTTTATCACAGTCCAAATTACTTCTCTTCCGACAGAGGCTGGGATTGACCCTTCTTTTTAACGGCCAACACCAAACCAGAAAGTCCATAGAATTTCCCTTCCACGTATAATTGTCTCAGCACTGTGAAGTTCAGTGGTAGGATATGAGGGAAAGCTTCAGGCGACCGCAAACAGTCCAGGACAAAATCAAAATAACAGGGATTTCTGTCAATGAAGTAGGTGTTGTTGGATGGTTGGAACGGTGAGTTGGGATTAATCATGGCAGATAATATTGATGATGGGTCACTGGAAAGTGTCCGTCGGCTGGTCTCAAGTTTCCTACCCCCCCCCCCCCCCCACGTTTAGAATCACTCGGCCATCATGTTGTTCTTTTAGGATGTTTAACTTAAACTTCCATTTGGTTGGAACTTCTTTTGCCTCTTGAATCTGATACGCTTCTTCTTCAGGAACATTAATCGATAGGATATCTTTGGGTTGATTTTCTTTTTTCTTTGATGTATGGGTAGACGAGGAGCTTGAATCTGAACTTGAACTTGGAGCTGACGAGCTGGAAGAGGATGAGGATACAGAAGATAGGATAGATTGGGACTCATAGGCTTTCTTCACTTTTGTGGAACTTGAAGTTTCGGCTTTGTTTATTTGGCTGAGGCAGTTCTGCTGGTTTTTGGATCAGGTAGCGTAGTTGGGTTCCCATCTTTCTGGCTGTTTTGGCTCCTTTGATCTTGGTTGTCTCCTTTGTTAGTCACGGTCTCGACTCTCTGTTTCTTCGTGGGTATAACCAGCTTCGGTAAAAATTGTTCTTTTGGCTCCCGGGGGTGCATTGAAATTTGGGACAAATTCTTCATAAAGGATTCTACGAGGGTGAATCTTTTCCTCTGGAAGTCTGCAAATTTCTTTCGTTCTTCATCACCATATTTCATGTTTGACTTTTTTAGTAGTTGAAGGTGGTATCCTTTGCACCAATGCTTTTGGTCTTTCCACCTCAACATGTAGTGGCAGATATCGCACTGATATCCAAATCCTGAATGGGTAGCAGTCTGGTGACGTTCTGCGTGTATCTGGTTCGTGAATTCTCTCCCATTACAAAGTAAGCATTTAAAGCGCTTGACCTGTGGAAGTAAATATTTTTTTCTTAGTTCCCTTGGAACCATGTCATAGTAATATTATGTGCAATAATAATATAGTAACAGTAAAATCATGTCAATCAAAATTGGAATAATATGTCAATCAAATTTTGAACAATATGCCAATATATATGTCTGTATATATACTGTATTAGACATATATATATATATATATATATATATATATATATATATATATATATATATATATATACACAACAGTGTAGAATTTATATATATATATATATATACACAACAGTGTAGAATTTTTATGCTTGAAACCATCCCATTGTAGATTTTCAATCTATTATGGTGAATTACATCCCCTTTATGTCTAGGGTGCTTTTGAATTTTGTAGAGAACGTCATTTATTTTCTATTTGATTCTGAATGGTCCTGCCCAATGTCTGGATAGCTTTCGTTCTAAACCCAGATTTTGGTAAGGATAGTATACCCATACTGCATCACCTATTTTATAGGGATTATGTTGGATTTTTGTATTATACTCTCTTATCAAACTCTGGGAATTTGATTTGATATTTTCCCTTGCAAAATTATAAATTTTGTTCATTTTCTGTGATACATTTTCTAACATTCTCGGAAATTTTGCTTCTTTCAGGGTCAGGCCTTCCAAGTACTAGATCAATAGGGAGTGCAACTTGTCGACCAAAGACCATGTCATTTGGGCTCACCCCCGTGGTTTCGTGTACCGAGGATCTATATGCCAACATGAGTAAAGGTACTAACTCATCCCAATTTTCTGTTTTTTTATCAACAAAAGCTGACGATATATTTTCAATTGTACGATTAGCCCTTTCAATCATCCCGTCAGATTGGGGTCTATAGGGTGAAGTTCGGGTATTCTCTATTCCCAGTAGTTTACACAATTCTTGGAATATAGTAGACTCAAACATCTTACCTTGATCGGAGTGTAATTGCATTGGTACTCCAAAGATAGGTATTATATGTTGCAGTAATTTTTGGGATATTGTAGTAGCCTTTTTATTTTTCATGGGGATTGCATCAACCCATTTTGTGAAGTAGTCTCCTACAACTAACAGGTATGGATTTTTCTTATGAGTAATGGGAAGTGGTCCCAATATGTCTAATGCCCAGCGTTCCATTGGTACCCCAACATTATAAATTTGTAAGGGGGCTTTTGGTAACTTATTGGGAGATTTTCTTGAAGCACAAGTGTCGCATTTTAGTGTCATTAGACATTTTGTACCAAAAAAATTTATCCTGGGCTTTTGATAATGTCTTTTTGTAACCCAATTGTCCCCCAGTAATGCCCCTATGCATTTCATCCAAAACTTTTTTGGCAAAGGAGCTGGGAAGAATTACTTGGAACTTTGGGGTTATGTGTTCCCATTTATGGTATAGAATGTTGTCTTGCCATTTGAGGGAATCAAATCTAACCCAATAGTATTTGCATGTTTCACTCAAATTTGATATAGTTTCCCAAGAAGTTTAACCCACGCTATAACCTTTTTAATATCAGCGTCATTTTCTTGTACTTCTTCTAAACTCTTATTTTGAAATGATGACTGTTTTGTAGGATCTTGAGAAGTAGATGTCAAAGCAGTGTTGTGATTCCCCGATCGGGTGACGACCTGGCATGATTCAGGTATGGCTCTAACATGTTTATTACTAGTGTTGTCAACAGTTTCTGATCCATACTTTGTCTCAGCTCTTATGCAATGTTTGCAATCTAGGTCGACACAAGGTCTACGGGATAGGGCATCTGCATTGTTATGTGTTCGACCTGCTCGATGTTCAATCTTAAAGTCATAGGAGGACAGTGATTCGAACCATCGGGCTAGCAGACCTTCTGGGTTTTTAAAGTTTAATAACCATGTCAATGACCCATGATCAGTTCTGACCTTGAAATGTTTCCCATATAGATAATGATGGAAATGTTTAACTGACTTCATTATTGCTAAAAGTTCTCTTCGGGTTGCACAATAGCGTCGCTCAGTTGAACTAAATGTTTTGCTAAATTAGCTTATGACCTTGACAACCCCATCTTGTTCTTGGGAGAGGACTGACCCTAAACCCGTATTGGAGGCGTCTGTGTCCAGGATGAACAGACCTTCATCCTTTCGGAATGCTAAGATATCAGAGCTAATAAGAGCTCTCTTTAATTTGTCGAATGCATCTTGACAGCTTGGCTCCCAAAAGAATTTTTGATGGGACTCTGTCAACTTATGCAAAGGTTTGGCAATGTCTGCAAATCTATGTACAAATTTCCTGTAATAGGAACAAAGTCCTAAGAAACTTCTTATATCCCTAACATTTTTGGGAATAGGCCAATTTTTTACTGCCTCAATTTTTTATGGGTCAGTTGATACCCCATGTTCATTTACAATATGCCCAAGGAATGAAACTTCCTTTTGTAAAAATGTGCATTTCTTTGGACTCGTTTTCAAATTAGCTTCTTTTAATCTGGTAAAAGCTTGTCTAAAGTTGTAGATGAGCTCATCAAAATTTTTTGAAAGAATAATGATGTCATTAAAATATACTAAGCAGATTTTCCATGATAAGTTAGATAAAACTTTTTCCATAAGCCTTTCAAATGTAGCACCAGCATTGCTAGGTCCGAATGGCATATTTAGAAATTGCCAATGACCACCCCTGGAATTGAAAATGCAGTTTTGGGTTTATCCTCTGGCGACATTTTTACTTGCCAGTACCCACTTTTTAAGTCAACTGTAGATAACCATTTTGACCCAGATAAAGCATCCAAAGTTGCGTCTATTCTGGGAATAGGATAACTGTCTTTATCTGTTATGTCGTTAAGTTTCCTGTAATCTATACAGAACCGGATTGTCCCATCTTTTTCTTAACAAGGACTATGGGAGAACTCCATGGACTGTCAGATGACTCAATAATCTTTTTATCTAAGATATCATTGATTTCTTTTTGTGCTTTTTTAAATTTAGCAAGAGGTATTCGTCTAGGAGGTTGCTTAATGGGTTTTGCATTTCCCGTATTTATAGTGTGTTCTACTAGTTCATTCAGACCCATGTCAGAGAAATCTTTGGAAAAACTATTTTGAAATTCCTAAAGTAAGGCTATGAATTTTTCTTTTTGTTTTGAATCCAAATAATTTGGAAATTTTTTCACACATTTTGGATGTCAATGTTAAGGGAATTTATGGAATGTATACAAGATTCACTTTTTCAATATTGGCAACAACAGTCCTTTTGTAGATCTTAATACTTTGATCATTTAAATTGGTGTACCGTATAGGGATATTTCCCCCGGTATTAACCTTAACCAAAGTTTTGGGAATAAGCACTTCATGCTTCTCAATAAATTTTGTAGTAGGTTCTACAATAGCAATTTCCCCACGAAATAATGGGTTTTCTACTTTCCCAGATGCCACTAACTCACTTTTTGGAGGTATTTCTATATCCTCAGCAATTGTTATTTTGCTAACTGGGTTTTCATTTCTTCTCTATTAAAGCAAGGGATCTCTGTACCCTTGATTTTCAATTTCCTTTTCTTAAGCAATATATCACAAGTTTTTGTTGCCATAAAAATCTATCCCTAATATACAGTCATTAAGGATATCTGCTACCAACACATTGTGAGTAACCGTAACATTTCCCAAGCTTATACTTAATGGGATTTCCACCTAAACTAAAATATTTTGCCCATTTGCCGATGTCAAATTGATAGAAGATGGTGTCAATTTATCTTTACCCAGATTTCTGGCAACACTAGAGCTGAGTACTGTCACACTAGCCCCAGTATCCACTAACATGGATATCAATTTGTTTTCTATTTTCCCTACTACATAGATTCCATCATTCCCAACTTTCACAATGTCATTTATTCTAATTTCTTTTGAATCATTCTTTATTGGAGATCGAATTTCAGTTTCATTTTCAAATTTTTCATTGAGTCTGACTGAACTAGCCTCTTTGCTTAAACTTTTTATTTTCTAATGATGTCGCTTGGGGTCTACCCCAGATTTCTGTCGACATTCGACCCCCGAACCCGACGTGTGGTAGTTTGTTGGATTCTTGTTGTGGGTGAAATTTTGTCGTGAATGATTGACATTGTTATCCCATTTATGATTGGGTTTATTTCCAATATAGGGAGGTCGATTTGGGGGATTGTTGAAATGGGCTCGCTGTCCCTGATTAAACTTTACAAAATTTTGTATCTCTCTTGTAAGCCATCCCCTATAGCTTTCTTGATAGCCCCAACAATATCTGATTCTTGTTCTTGGGTAACTTTTACATTGTTAATTGAGTGAGCCCTTTGGGCGTCAGCTTGTTTGTGGGTTTCGCATCGGATTGTCAATATTGCGGCTTCATTGATGTCCCTTGGTCTCATTTCCGCAATTGCAGGCGCATGTCAGAATCTGTTAGAACATCGATAAAGTGGTCTAGAGCCAAGGTGTTTGTCACAGCTGGGTCTGCTGTTGGATATGCCTTTCTTGTCAGTTTTCTTATTGATTGGGAAAGTTCAGGAATAGATTTATTGTTTCTCCTTACTAAACCCTTTAATTGAGCACGATACATTTCTGACCGTTCTACAGATCCATAGCGGGTATTTAGAGCCCTTACTAAAGATTCAAAATTATGTCGCTGGGATTCATTTACCTCTGTCAAAACTGCTCTAGCCCCAACTGTTAAACTACTTGCAAGGCATAGTGCTTTAGGTTGAGGATCCCAATTATGGAGTGTAGCAAGTATGTTAAATTGTGTCAAGTATTCGTTAAAGTCATCTCTCCCGTCGAAGGTTTGGGGTTTTATGCCAGTGGGAGATTTGGATGCAGGTGCCACATTAGCTAGCCTGGTAGAAACACAGGTATTCTCATTTTGATCTATAAGTTCTGATTTCCCATGGGTAGTTATGGGATTGAAATTTTCTTTTTTTCTTTGTTTGCTCCACAGAGCATACCCATATCTGGATGGTCAATAGGTTCCCCATACCCATTCAGAGATTGGGAAGTGGGTTTTCTACTTATTTCATCTTTTTGTTTGCGTTTCTAAATTTCTGACCATAATCTTTGGGATTCTTGTCTTACTTCATTTATTTGTTGCCCAACTTCATGTTTCATGCATAAAAATTCCTTGTTCATATTGTGCATGGCATTTAACAATTGTTCATTTATGTTTTCAGATTGATGGGTCACTGATGCCTGTTTGGGAGAAGATGAAACATGGTCATCTCTGGATAATCTGGGTGATCCCATACAAGATCTCGGATTAAAAACAATTTCTCCAGAGTCTTCTAAGTTGCCGTTATTTTGGGACATTTTTCTTTTAAATAATTCTTTTACAAAAAAGCGTTCAAATTGGGTCAAATAAAATTTTATAAATGTTAAACTATTTGTTTTCTATCCAAACAAAGTATGGGATTCTAAATTACAATGATCCCACTTCTGACACCAATGTTACGTTTCACCCTTTTTGCTATGAAGTAGGCGATTGTAACTGGTGGGTCTCCCAAGTCTGTATATTAGATAGAAATATAATACCAAATAACTTTTTGTACAAAACTTTTATTAAATTATTTATTTTGTCAAGAATGGATTATTGAGCGGTAATAAATTATAAAAGCAAATATTTCCAATAAATCAATAAGAATGGGATTTTAATATCCCATATGAAGTTTTTCGCAAGTGTGGGAATACCCGATATATGTTTTCTGTGTAGTGTTAACCTATTTAGATTAAATAAATTTTAATTAACAGGCTTCAGTTCCCAATATTCATAAATTAATTTGGGATAAATAAATAAATTAATTAATTACCCATCTGCTCTGAGTTTCCATATTCCCAGTTGTTTAGTCCTCGTCAGTTGAGGCAGCTGAGCAGAATGCTCCAGATGACAGCTGACCGCTGTTTATATCGTATTTCGTTGCTGAAGAAATGACGTACGATCCGCTCCCCTTTCCCGCAATTAGATCTGCACCGGAAGTTTATTGTGCTAAGCGATCTCGATGCAATAAAAACAATGCAAGATCCGCGGGAATTGGAGTTATGTCAGTTGGAAGATCATACGACTGTTTATAATGTCAGAATAACATAAATAGTAGATTACTTACAATGTAATATTTTTGGGAAATGCCTGTTAATGTGTCAATCTTTCGTATAAGATTATTTGTTATCTTAACGTTCCCAACTAATGGAGGAAACTCGGATTGACAACATGTCGATAAAAACAAGTGACATTAAATATTAAAATAATAAATTGTAACATTGGTATGAAAATGAATTTTAGAAATTCACATAATAATTCACACACCCAATCCAGCGGTTTCCATATCAAAATATATGTAGGTATAGGTTTTCCCATATGGTAGATGTGAAGATTTTGCATTGGTGCACTCGGGGTGGCAGAATCTTCAGGGTGTGTACTTTATTACGATCAAGATCATCCTTCCATATTAGATTCATAACATGTCCCTTCTCTAGTTACACAGCATTAATCGGCAGAAAATTTCTTATCTTTTTTCATTAGACGTTGTCTTTTGAATGGTTTTTCACATGGTTCCTTTCGTTTCCTACGCATTTCAACGTTTCGTGATCTTTGATCTGTAAATTTTCCTGGTGAAAGTAACAGTTTTCCATTCACCTACATTCACTAGATATTGAGATGGTGTCCATCTCAAAGGGCCCCGCTTTTAGCAACGAACATGAAAATGTAAGGTAGCTGAAAAGGGTTTATTTTGAAAAGGAACATTTGTGTACTTTTAAGGGATGTGTTGTTTGAGTCTAAAGGGCTTCTATTTCATCCTTGTTATAATAAAAATTAACAAGAAAATCACGAGTGCTCCATACCCTCTATCAAAAAACGGCACAAAAATCAGGAATGTTACATATCCTCTATGAAAACTGTTGCATATCCTCTATCAAAATATGAAAGGAAAATCACAAATGTTCCGTACCCTAAGTCAATTTGTAAAGTTTGAGGCTGACTGGATACAAGGGAAAGAAATTATGCACCAAACAAAGATTTTAAACAGAGGCTACTTTTGACCTTGACCTAGAAACTTCGTTCAAGGTCACTGCACATCCATTGACCAGTGGCACCCTGAGAGTGAAGTATGAGCCACATTGGACTAAGAGGAGAGAAGATATGCTCCGGACAAGGATTTTTCATATAATCCTGCTCTAACCTTAACATAAGATCTAGAAACATGGTTCAAGGTCACTGCACACCCTTTACCCAAAGGCACTCTGTGGGTGAAGTATGAGCCAGATTGGGCCAAGAAGAGAGAAAATATGCTCCGGACAAGAATTTAAGAAGAGAGGCTATTTTTGACCTTGACCTAGAATCTTCGTTCAAGGTCACTGCACATCCTTTACCCGAAGGCACTCTGTGGGTGATGTATGAGTCAGATTGGGTCAAGAAGAGAGAAGATAAACTCCTGACAAGAGATCTCGGACGGACAGAAGGACGGACAGATGATCACTACAGGGCGCCCCCATAGCGGGGCCTTAATAATATACATTTCACTAATAAATCCATTTGTATAAACCGTTCACGGTAGCTGAGTCGGTAGAGCGCTCGCTCCGTGATCGGGAGGTCGTGAGTTCAAATCTCGGCCGCGACAGACCTAAGTCGATAAAAAAAATGGGTAGCAACTGTTCCTTCGCCATGCGCTCGGCACTTTGAAGTGAAAATTGCGAGTCCTTCGGATGAGATCTTAAAGCTGAACAAGACTCGTAAATAGGCATACGCCATTTTCGATATTACTATCTTAGATGTCGGCACCAGAGTATACTCCTCGCATTGGTTACACCTGACTGCTTTATTGTCACGGGTATCGGCGTGGAATGGCGACCCGTGTTCGTGCTGGTTATCTTAATTCCCTTTGTTTACATTTTATTGCAGTTACGTATATTTGTGTTTGTTTGTAAACTGCACTGACCTGTGCAACTGTTGTAAGTGTCTTTGGTATCTTACTCTCCTGCATTAGAAGAAGCACACGGTTATTTTTGTCGCTACCTACGTCCGTCTACACCGGTGACGATTGATTACACTGAACAGTGACCAAGTGAGCGTCCCTATATATAGGGGCCCTCAGATACAGCTCGAGTTCAATCGAATATGGCAGACACATTCTTTTTACGAAGCTTGTTCAGCTTTAAAAACCGAGGCCCCGTGTCTCGGCAGGCGTTGGGACGATAAAGATCCCTCACTGCTCAATGGTCCTGAGTGCCGAGTACAGGTCAAAATTTGAAGCCCTTCACCGGAATATGGTGACGCCTCTATATGAGTGAAAAATTCTGGAATGGGACGTAATACAAAATACAATCAATCAATTGTATAAAAGACAATTACATGCATGAAACTTTTTAATGATTGTGTCTTTCCTTTTTCTGTACACAATACAAAATATTGTAATACATATATTAAAAGGTAAACATAAAATAGTAAGATACAATAGGATGCTTACCTCTTACGCATAACCACATCCCATATTTTTCGGACAAACAGCAGCAGCTATTCTAAAATCATTACTCTCTGATCCAGCTAACAATGTGCATTTTTGAGCCTTACTAGCAACTGTATTATTGAGGCTTTCATTAGCTTGTGCTGAACCTAAATTGCACAGTTTTTCAATTTCATATGGTCGCCCGCGTGCCGCAGTGGTTAGTGCTCTAGAGTCGCGGAGTAAGGAGTTGATCCTCACGTCGCGTCCTATTGTGGGATATGGAGACCCGGTCCTTCGGATGAGACCGTATAAACCGAGGTCCCGTGTCGCAGTAGGTGCTGGCACGAAAAAGATCCCTCACTGCTCCATAGCCCTGAGTGCCAATATAGGGTCAAAATTTGCAGCTCTCCATCGGCAAGTGGTAGCGTCTCCATATATGAGTGAAAAATTCTCGAGAGGGACGTTAAACAACAAACAAACAAATCAACTGTTTATATTTCTGCTGACGTAATGAATAAAGCCTGTTTGTAAAATGGCGAATAGTGTGATTTGAATCACTTATTTTCTTGAGACCAGCATTAATTTCACTTCTAAGTCTTGCAATTGTTGTGTCATCATCCATGATAACGATGCCTACAATAATGTCTTGGCTTTCTACGTCTTTCAGCATAGATACACACGTCAGGTTCCATGACTTTGGAACAGCCAGTCCAATTTTTTCCTACAATCATGGTTGCTGGCTACAATACCAAGTTGTAATATTATAGGATTTGATACTCTATTATGTAATGTGTGGGGGTTGGGGGTTGGATTTCAGCTTATTACTATATTACAGTGGTTTGTCACCATGTAATATGTATGGGAGTGGACTTTAGAATATTACCTATTATTCACAGGCTTGTGGATTTTATTACAGTGATGCAAAGTAGCATCCAGTTGTAAATTTTATTAGAAATGTTTTATTGTTTATGTCCATTAACTATCTTTTCGTTTACTTAGATTATTGATGCAATACACATTGCACTTCGACACTGTTATGTAAACGTTGTTATTGTTTTACTAGACGGTTTAGTGAGATATTGTTAAACAGACAGTAAGGGACAGTGATACTAAGGTGTTTTATGTCAGTGTTTCATCATTATCTACCATATTACGACTGTAGTTTACTTATTTATTTTGGCATTGTCACACATGTTGTAAATTGGGCGCCTGCCATCTTTCTTACGAAGAAAATAGTCACGTGACACAAACATTATCGTTTTACAACTGTTAAGATCAAAATAACACTGTCCATGCAATGAAATACTTATAATTTATACTTGAATGTTACTTTGTTGCATAACTGTAATTTAATAATGTTTTATTTGATGAAATGTATTGGAACTTTTGAATGTGTAGCATAAGACTGATGTGTACGTATTATTGTTCTGTATTATAACGCCGTGGATTGCGTGTGTCCGTTTTAATATAGATTGTTTGTTGAACTTATTTTTTGATGCATATCAATAAGAATTTATAGCTGTTACCTAAATGTAGAAAGAACATTTTTATATAATCATAAAAGAAAAAGAAAATCAATTTCCAAATTTCATTCAACACAAACGCTGTCTGGATTTCATAATCCGTCTTCAGGTGTACATAACATTTGAACTGTTTTGTTTTGCTCGGTAACGTGAACTATGACGTCATGAGTGTCTGCAGGGAAGAAATTAATCCATGACGTCATAATATGATTGATTGTTTAACGTCCATGTTTCGGCGGATAACTTATTTTAAATAATCGGTTTATGAAAGGTTTTTGGTTTCTTTGGCGGCCCCCAATGAGCCTACTCTTTTTCGAAATTCAGAGAAACGATCTTTTACGTGCCAAGGGGGTTGTAATCCTTGACACGGGGCACCATTAAAAAGGC